TGCCTTAAATTAATTAGGTGTGTGAAAATAGAATTTTACGATTATACTTGGATAATGACCATAACAGCCTTAATTAGTATTTGTTTTTCCCGTGATATTCATTTTGAAGCTGATTTTCAAACTGTTTGATTTCATGAATGGGACTTCAACCGATTGATCACCATAGTGAAAAACAATTGGGAATAAATTTTGGAACACTTTTAACTCCTGTTTCATATCACAATCATCTCCTTCTATGCAATTAAGCAACATAATCATCGCCCAATGCAACACATTTGCATTGACTGTTAGGAGTAATATCACACAAATTCTTATGAAAATATTTGCCTCGTACTATTGAGTATGCATATAAATTTCATAGCATTTCAAATATGTTTTTTGCGCCGAGCGTGTAACAATAATGTTCGAATTTTAATGTCTCAGGGCCAATTTTTGTAAATCCAACTTACGTTGAGGTGGTCATCCTTGGTTAGTTGGGACGAAAAGTTACATGTGGCTCTGCCTAACAATGTTTGCAAAGGATTGACTTCTTTTCAGTTAAAGAGAAGTGCAATCTTGTCCAATAAGGTCTGTGGAGTCACTTTAGAGATCAGAATCGTTTCATTTTATAAGTAACTATGTATAAATCATTTATAGAAAAAATAAAATAATTTAATAATCATATTCGATGGGCATGCCTGGGAAGGTTTAACCCACGGTTATTCTGAGTTACCCAAACAGTCACTTGGTTGAAACCTAGCAGAATAGGCCTAACACCAAACCCAATAGAGAACTCACGATGGTCAAGCCTAGGCATCAACTAGACATGTATTAGATAGGGAGTTAGTTACATGGCGGACAAAGATTCTGTAAAGTTATTGAACCCATACACCAAACATTAAATGAGGCTATCATGGCATTAAATGTAACAAGATCTCTCCCTCCGGGACATGGTGAAATCATGATGACTGATGGCAAGTATACTATAGACTTTTGGCTGACAAAACAACTTGGATGGGCAAAGAAATGATTAATAACAAATATAAAGAAGCTTTTGAGGAACACTTAAGGACAAGCAATTCACTCTCTCTCTCTCTCTCTCTCATTACTCTCAACCTCTCTCTAAACTGTTATTCCTACCACATCCTCATCTAATTTGATCGTCGAACGATCCGTAGGAAGAAACCACCCTCATTTCAGAACCTTCCTACTGGACTTGTTGCAAGTGCGATTAGGAAGACGAAGGACAGTCAACCCGTGGAGCACTTAAATCAATCCGACCCATATCCTACTGACCAAACTGCATTATCAATATTTATATGATCAAATTTATTTTAACAAAAATAGATAATATTTAATTTTTAAATAAATTATTTAAAAATAAAGCATATAAAATTATGTAATAATAATTATCAAATCAAACAATAATATGCTTAAATTACCGAAATAAAACTGGTTACTTCAAAGTTGATCTATGGGGCTAGGTCCTAAAGTCTTATTCGTTTGTCAGGTTAAGTTAAATAATATAGTGATATTGTTGAAATTAAATTTATAAAATTATATAAAAAATTTCATTATATAAAAAGGTGACTATTATTTTTGTAAAATGGGAAACAATAAGGTCTTTTTACTTCCAATGCCATGTGATTAAATGAGCAAACTCAGCCTCCGTTTGAGAAGTGGGTTGGTTTTTTAGTTTTTTTGGTTTTTTTAACTATTTGGGCCTGGGCTCAAAAGCTTAGTTTGGGAAGGGCTTTTTGACTTTTTGACCTTTTTGACTTTTTTTGTGAGAGAAGAGTGTAATGATTATGGGTTGAATGTGATGTTTTGTCTGTTGTGGCTCAAATAGCTTATTCTGTCTTTTGTGGCTCAAAGAGCCAAAAGAACCCAAATGAGCTCTTCCCAAATGACACCTCAAGTCGCTCATGAGATTGTTAATTCCTTCTTTGTAAGGGTTTCATCGTCTCATGACAATTTTTTAAAATAAATATCATATTTGTGGTTCCACACCTCATTACTAATTAGGGGTTCAATTCGGGTAGGTTTAGTTGGGTTAAGAGTTGTTCAAACTCAACTCAAGTTGTGCTGAAATCTGACCAGACCCGAATTGTAAGCCAAGATTGTCTGTTCAAGTCCGACCTGAGTTAAAGTCGAATTGCCCGAATTGTATATGAATTTTAATTTTTTTTGCAGCTAAATTATTAACTTATTAAAATTAAAATCTATTTATCTATATATTTTTTTAGAAAATCATTAAAAATATCAAAACAAATAATTTATATAATGTAAGAGAGATGCCGCTATGATAATCTTTACAATTTATGAGTGAATAAAATATGTAAGATTTTGTGTTATTTATGTATATAATATATTCAATAGGATTTAATAATATCATGTAATGGTTTATAATTTATATGTATATTTAATATTTTTGTATATTAATATATGTATAATTTGAATTTCGGGTTGTTCGGGTTGTTTGATATCTTTATTCAAATTCGTCAAATTTAATTTGGACTTCTAAATTTTTATCCAAACTCATATCGAATTTAAAAATATCTTGTCTAAGTTCTAAAAAAAATTAGAATGAGATTGGATTGAGCTCGCCCAAGTTACACCCCTACTACTAATCGAATCACACCTTTATCTCTGTAAACAAATAGGGTAGAAAGGAATTTAGACTCCATGGGTAACTCGTGATAACCATATGGCCATAACTCATAGACTAACACATCACACTTCAAATACTGGATATGGTTTGCCGAGATATAAAAATTTTGTTGTACCAACGTTGTGTGCTAACACCTAAACGATTGACGTTAAGACTGTATTTGATTCATGAATTTAGTGAGAAATTTTAAAAAATATTATTTTCACACTTTTTTCGTTTGCTTTTTAAATCCCTACAAAATTCCATGAACCAAACACAATGTAACAGAAAATGAAACTAAAAAATCTAAAACTTAAACCCCTCATATTTTTGTCCATGTGCCTGAGCTCATAACTTGAAAGGAGAGGTTTTTTTCTTTTTTTTGGTATTGATAATTTAAATCATTTAATATGTAGGTCTCGTTAGATATTTTATCTTTGCAAAAAATTATATTGATAAGAAATCTATAATCACTTGATCAAGTTATATTTGTATTAATAATTTATTTTCAAAATTATATTTACAATTAATACAAATATGATCTACTCAAACAAGTATCGATATTCAATCAATATAATTTTTTTTTTATAAAGATAAAACATTCAACAAATCTTATATATTAAACTGTTCAAATTATTAATACAAATTTTATGTCAGGCTTACAAATGTCCAATAGCACTTTACAGTATGATATAGATATGAGAAACCATTCCCCCGACTTCAAAAAAAAAATTATTAAGCCTCCGTTTGGGAAGTAAAATTTGAAATAAAATAGTCAAATAAAATAAAATAAGTTATTTTAAATCAATAAGATAAAATATCACATCTAACTCATAATCATTAATTAATCTTAGGATACCATCATGTGATACTCTAATAATATTGTAATTGATAAAAAAATAAAATTTATAAATTTATATTAAGTAACTAAAAAATATAAATTAGGATTGATCAAAGATATTATTAGGCCACGTCCGAATAGAAATCTAGGCTCCGTTTGATAAGACTTTTTAATTATGATTTGAGAATATGAGTTATATTTTGAGTTTGTGTGTTTTGAAATTATGATTTGAGTGTAAAAAATTTGTTTTTTTATGATTTTTGAATAGAGTGTTGAATTGGGTTTTGAATTGAGTGTGAAATTGAGTTTTGAAAGTTTAATTTGACATGTGAAGTAAGAAAATTTGTTTGATTATGAGTTTTGAAAAGAGTTTTCAAAACTTAATTCAAATTATTATAACTCATAACAAAACACACTACTTTCACATTATTGAAAATTCTGATCAACACTCATAACCAAACTCTTTTTAATGCCAAGTTTGGGAAGACTAAATAAGTGCACTTTTTGACTTTTTATGAAATATGGGTTGGATTTGAGTTGGGTTTGAAATGATGTGTTAGAGAGGTGATGTGACTTAAATAAGATAATGTGACTTAAATAGGATAGTGACTTTTTGACTTTTTGAATTTTTTGGAAGATGCCAAACTTGGCCTAAAATTCAATTAAATTTTTTTATTATTAACATAAAATAATATTAATCAATTTTTTAATTAAAAATACTACAAATGAAATAATTTTTTTCAAAATAAATATTCAAAAAATTTAAACCATAAATATTTAAATAATTTAATAAGTAAAAAATTAAAATAAATATACAAAAAATTTAAATCGTAAAAATTTAAATAATTTAAATATTCAAAAAATTTAAAATTTTAATATTTTAAATTTAAAAATAACTCTATACTCAAATCATAACCAAACATGTAAAACAAAACTCAATTAAGAAATTATTGTTAAAACTCATAACCAAACATATAACTCGAAACTCTATATTACTTTCACAATTCTACACTCAAATCGTAACCAAATACATAACAAAAAAATTAAAATATTTAAAAAAAATTATAAAATAGAGTTTGAATTTATTTTTATAAAATATTTTAAAATTTAAAAAATTAAAATCGTAATATTTTGAAATTAAAATATTTAAAAATATTCAAAAATTAAAAAAATCGTAACATATTTAAATATTAAAATATTTCAAATCTTAACAAAATTAAAATATTTTTAAAATATTTAAATATTTAAATATTTAAAAAATTAAAATATTGATTTGAATTTTGTTTTGAAAAAAGTTTTGAATTATGTGTTTGGTTATGAGTTTTGAAAAGTAATGGTTATGTTTTGAATTGAGTTTTGGTTAACCCAAACATCCATATTTTCAACCTCAATTTTTTAGTCCAAAAAGACAAAAAATACACTTTTTTAGTCTTCCCAAACTTGACCTTACCAAGTAGAATCCTAATTTTTCAATTTAAACTCATCACAACACGCGATTTTCCGACCCAAAAAATAAACCCTGTCCGCCACCAACTTCGAAGTATTCCCACACCTACTTCTACTACTACAGCTCGGATTGTTGATCTCCAGTTTGACTGAATTCGATCATACGCCTCCAATCACATGATTTGACGGAAAAAGCAAAAGTCAATCTAAACCAATCACAAACTGCCACGCATTCACCTTCACATGCTCTCTCTCTCATTCCCTTTTGTTTGCCTCGCTCTCCTACTACTGATTACCCCAACCCACTCCATCCACCAGCTCCAGCTATGAAAAAGCATATACACACATATAGATACATTTTCAAAGCCCGAATCATAAATTTCTAGGGTTTGAATTTTCAAATGCAAATCCATTCTTCTTCTTCTTCTTGATAGATCAGAGAGAGAGAGAGAGTGTGTGTGATAAATTGAAATTGATAATGCCAAGGCAGAATCGGATTGTGGAGGGTTTGATTCCCGGATCCTGCAAGATCCGAAAGAGGGGTTGCTCTTCGTCTTCGTCTTCGTCCTCTGTGTTGCAGAATTACCGATTCAAGCGGGCCATTTTGGTGGGTAAGCCTCGGGGATCCAGATCGAGCACTCCGGTTCCGTCTTGGAGGACAACGGCGGCGGCGGCTGTGGATTCTCCCAAGTACGCGCCGTCGCAGAGCGGTGGTGGGAGGTCGAGGCCGGTGTCTGCGAGGAAGCTGGCGGCGACCCTGTGGGAGATGAATGAGGTTCCGTCGCCTAGGGTTGGGGACAACTTGGAATTGAAGAAAGCGATCAAGAGAGAGATGAGAGTTAGAGAGAGAATGGGTGTGCCGAGATCGGTGCATTCGGGATCTCTACCTCCCCATTTGTCTGATCCATCTCACAGTCCTGTTTCAGAGGTGGGTTTCTTTTTCTTTTTTTGATAAATTTCTTGGATTGCTGTTTGGTTGCTGAGAAAACAGTTGAATAAAAGGAGATTTTTAAATATTTTGTTTTTGTTTGAATCAATTGAGGCAGAGCAGAGCAGTAGCAATTGGAAGTGTTTGACTAAATTTTGGATCTATTTGGTTGGCTTGATGTCATTTTCAATAAATGAAAATTTTGAAACCCTTTCAATTGATCAATCAAAATCAAAGCCAAATTTTATTCAAAAGAAGAAAAAGAAAAAGAAAAAGAAAAAATGTTTTCTAATAATTGTCAATTGCCAATGGTGAAACTTCAGAAAATTACTAGAATTATGTTTCAACTTTCAAAAAAAAAAAAAAAAAGTCCAACCAAGACCTGCACACACACATCTAAAAACCCATTTTCTTTTATAATTTTCGAGAATGGGAAAAATGTTTTTGAAACCCGCATAGAATGGAGCATTGTCTCAGAGACTCTGAGTATTGGGAATTTGGTGGTTCTTGTGCTTTGGGTTCATTTTTATATATTATTTCATTTTATTGTCTTGTTATCAAAGTTTTTATTGCTATTATTATTTTAATGGTTTTTATTAAATTTCAAAAATTGCAGAGGATGGATCGATCATGTACAGGTAGTCGCCATGGGAGGACTCCATCGATTTCTCATAGGCTCAGGCTTGGCGGCCACAATGTTGGTGGTTTGGATTCCCTTAGCAATGCCAGTTTAATGGAGGTTATAGCTAATTTCTTTCTTCCCTTGGGATACAATTCTTTCTCTAAATTTTAATCTGTCATTGTATCTTTTATTCTTTTGTTTTCTTGAAATTGAAGTGACTTTTGGGACCGTTATTCAATGCTCTATCTGTGTCTTTCTCTACATGCACATAGCAATTCTGAGCTTGATATTCATTTTTTTGTTTTTTGTTTTTTTGAATCAAACTCTATTTTTCTTTTGAAACTTTTGAAAGCTTTGAAATATTTATGTTGCAACTGAAGAGAGATAGAGGACAATACATGTTTATTGTGTTTGCATTTATCATAATGCAGGTTGAGACTAGATCCAGATGCCAGACTCCTAGTGGCTCTGTGGTTGGTGGTAGGACGCGTTTGAAGGATGTTAGTAATGCATTGACCACCTCTAAAGAGCTATTGAAAATAGTCAACCGTATTTGGGCTCAGGATGATCATCAACCTTCATCAAGCATTTCTCTTATCTCTGCCTTGCATGCCGAGCTTGAGAGGGCTCGCTTGCAGGTCAATCAACTGATCCAAGAACAGCGTTCGGACCAAAATGAAATTAATCATCTTATGAAGTGTTTTGCTGAAGAAAAGGCAGTGTGGAAAAATAAGGAACAACAAGCGGTCGAAGCTGCTGTTGAGTCAGTTGCAGGTGAACTCGAGGTAGAGAGGAAGCTTAGGAGGCGATTTGAGAGTTTGAACAAGAAACTTGGGAAAGAATTAGCAGAGACGAAGTCATCACTCATGAAGGCAGTGAAAGAACTTGAATGTGAGCAGAGAGCGAGAGAAGTAATGGAAAAAGTATGTGATGATTTAGCTAGTGATGATAATGCTGAAGTTGAAGAACTGAAGAGAGAGTCTGCAAAAATACATGAAGAGGGTGAAAAGGAAAGAGAGATGCTTCATTTAGCTGATATGTTGCGTGAAGAGAGAGTTCAAACGAGACTCTCTGATGCAAAAAATGCTGTTGTTGACAAGCTAAGGAATCAACTTGAAGCTTTAGCGAGAACCAAACAGGGCAAAGAAAAGGGGTGCAATTCTCTAAGTCGTGGCAATTCTGAAGATATTGCTGCCTATTTGAGAAGAACCCGTTTTGGGTCCCATCAGAATGAAATAAAAGAAGACGATGGAGAAGTGGAGGACAGAGTTGATTGTGAAGAAGAAGACTCGGCTGAAAGTGATCTACATTCTATAGAATTGAACATGGACAACAATAACAAGAACTACAAGTGGACAAATTCTTCTAGGGTACCTCACGAATCTAGAAAGGTTCCACTTCTGATTGATGATAAAATCGAAGGGAGGAGGAACTCTACCTCTGGGAAACCACCAAGGAGAAGCACTTCTCTTCAAAGGAGCATATCAGATGGAGTTGAATGGGGACTCCAAAGTGAAACTGAGAGACTCTATGATCTTGAAAAGCAAGCTCGAAGGAAAGGTTATGGGGATGACAAGGAGGGATATAAATCGGTGAAAGCTCTTAGGGACCAAATGTTGTCGAGTTCTAGGGCAGGATCTGTTAGGGATTGTTCTAGTCCAACCCGGCAATGGGGGCAGGCGTGGCCTTCACGAGATCATGGCAATACAGGACTGACTATGGTGCAGGCTAGTGGTTTGACCTCAAGGCTAGTGGAGGGCAGAGGGGAAGGCCAGACTGCAAGAAGATCAAGAAGGTGAGTTTTCGTTTGTTAATTAATGCGTTTCTTGAGATCCATGGGTGCTGCTTAAACTTGCAGTTCCCGGTATGCAATTCTGGGATACCTTAAAAAGCAAGACTTGGTGGCCCCATGTTGAGATGAGAAACCAAGATGATTTGAGTTCTGTTGGTTTATGTTTTCAATGTTGTTGCTATGAACTGCTCTGCTTGAGCAGTTAAAACTTCACCTATATGTAGGAGTGTTTGAATTTAATTCTAGTTCTTTTTGTAGAAAGTTGTTATGGTCTTGGTGAAGTTTTTGCTGTACAAAAACTTTAGTATAACTGAGAAATATTTATGTTACAATTTTTACTGTCTGTCTTGTTCAATTTTGCTTCTCTTTTCAGAGAAATTCTCTAAACCAGCTGAATTTAGTTCAGGTAGATCATAGGATAAGACAGATAAGACAGATTTTTAATTCATCTGAGTTTGGCGTTCTAGATGTAAACATAGTCCTTTCCTTTGACAAATACAACACCTAAATATAGCCCTTGAGATTTCATGCCAAGTTTTTAGTATTAAGAGCATATTAAATCAATCACCAAAAACATAATTGTATTGGTAATAACTATGATAAACTTTTAGTGGGGTTGGCAAATAAGACCTTTACATCATTATCAGATGGTAATGATTTGTTTAACGAAAACAAGAAACCCTAATATCAATATCACTCATGAGTAATATTATTGTTTTTTTAATAATTTTATTTTTTTTATTTTTATGTTGACACTGGAAATACCTATTCTAGCTTAGCCTATGGGAAGAGGGAAAGGGTGAGGAGGCGGGGTTCGAACTTTTGAGCTAATGAGTTGGGGGGAGCACAAAAGCCTAACCACCCTTGCACTCCATGAGCACTTCATTCTAAACCATGTTAGTAAGGAGACGGAGAAATAATGCTAGAAGCTGGGGAACAATGCAACAAAAAGAACACTAGACTTGATATATTTCTAGCTAGCCATGGATTGAAAATGTTGATCTTCAAGCAGTGAAATGGAATATAATATACTTTACTGCTGAATTTAAACACCTTTTCTTTTATTGATCATGATTTTATAGTTATCAGATTAATGCAATTGTTAGATATTAGTGGGCCAATTGCAATGATTAAATGCATGTAAAGTTGTTATTAAATTGTTATAGAACTCTGAAATGCCATAATCATTTGTCTCCCCTATAAATGCGGCATGAAACCTGTGTGTAGATGATATAAAGTTAAATTTTACTTCTAAAAACACATTTAGCAGAAGCATATTTTAGAGATAAATGTTCTCAAGTTTTTGAAGTTCTAAAATATTCAAATTTAAAATGAAAATGATAAAGAAATGGCTGCATTTGAACTTTTAATTACTTTTATTTCTTGAAAAATTTGAAAAATGTTCATTTTAAAATGCATACCTAATAAATACTTGGGTAGAGTTTTGTAATTATGATTTGAGAGTATGAGTTGTATTTTGAGTTTGTGAGTTGTGGTGTTATGATTTGAGTGTAGAAAATTTGTTTGGTTATGGTTTTTGAATAGAGTGTTGAATTGAGTTTTGAAAGTTTGATTTGACATGTGAAGTAATATAATTTGTTTGGTTATGAGTTTTGAAAAAAGTTTTCAAAACTTAATTCAAATTGTTATAACTCATAACAGAACACACTATTTTCACACTATTGAAAATTCTGATCAACATTCATAACCAAATTCTTTTTAAAATTCAATTAAAAAAATTTATTATTAACAGAAAATAACAGTAATCAATTTTTTAATTGAAAATACTACAAAGGAAATAAATTTTTTTCAAAATAAATATTCAAAAAATTTAAATCATAAATATTTAAATAATCTAAAAAATTTAATAAGTAAAAAATTAAAATAAATATTCAAAAAATTTAAATCGTAAAAATTTAAATATTAAAAAAATTATTTGAACAAAAAAATTTAAATAATTTAAATGTTAATATTTTAAATTTAAAAATAACTCTACACTGAAATCGTAACCACCCACATAAAACAAAACTCAATTAAGACTGAAGCAAATGATTTATTTCCATGTCCCTCTTTCTCTTATTAATTTGTTGTGCATGTGGAAGTATTTCATTGTTGAAAATAAGTAAAAAAATATTTCCACATCAATTTTATATTAAAAGTTTAACATATATGCCAAAGACGGTGTGCCTCACCCATTAACTTTTACCCTATTTCTTTGTAAACTCAACAAAAAAAGCTAACATTAAAATTAATTTTATAGAAAAAATAACAAAGAGAACAAATGGAATAGTCTATTTCTCAGCTTCATAAATCTTCACTTTGTTTAGCACAATTGCGAGATCTCTCCCAAAATAGATCAATTATAGTTAGGTGCAATTTGGGTGGGCTCAACCTGAGCAACCGAGCCAACTTTGAAATTTTTCAAGCTTAGGCAAGATATTTTGAATTCGGTACGGGTTTGGATAAAAATTTAGAAGTTCGACTTAAATTTAGTCGGGCTTAGACAAATACATCAAATAATTCAAGCAACCTGAAACATGAGTTAATATTAAAAATATTAAACATACATATAAAATATTAGCCAATAGATGATATTAAGTAATTATATTGTTAAATCATATTAAATATATATTATATATACCAATAAACACAACACAAAATCTTACATTTTTATTTTCACTCAAATGTAAAGACTACCATAGTGCATTCTCTTACATTATATAAATTGTTTGTTTTAATGTATTAATGATTTTCTTAAAAGAAATGTAAATCTATTTTAACGAATTAATTAAAAAACATTGAAATTTATGTGCAATTTGGGCTTATACAGACAACATCGGCTTAAATTTGGACTTTGAGGGCCGGACAATCTCAGCATAATTTGGGTTGGGTTTAAATAACCTCTCAATCCGTCCAACCCACCTAATTACACCCTTTATTATAGTTATTCAACCTTTAAAATAAAAAATTAAAGTTTAACTTGAGCTAGGCTAGTCACCACTTACCTCAAAGTCATTTCTTTTGTGACATCCACCATTAAATCATATATTTTAATTTTAAAATTAATATATATATATTAATATATATATATATATAATTTAGTTTTCATATTATAAAAATTAATATACAATATCTCTTCAACTTTACAAATTAATTTCAACCATCCCTAAAATAATTTTTCTGGTATAAACCGATTAAAACAATTCTTATTGTTTGAATTTATGCCACTTTTAAAATTAACTATTAAATAAATAAGTAAAACATATTTGCATATAAAAATAATGTAAATGAAAATGACTTTTGTAATTGAACCAATTTAAACAATAAGTTTTTGGTCATTTCCAGTAAGTTGTTAACATTAAAACTAATTTATAGAATAAATGCAGAAGAGAACAAAGGAATAGTCATTTCGGTACCCCTCAAATAATATTCACTTGTTAAGCATAATTGCAAGATCTCTCCTCAAATAGACAATATATTAAGTTAATCATTAAAAATAAAATTAAAGTTCAACTATTAGGCTAGATCCAGAACACCTTCCCAAACATTTTTTTATCGGTTTTGTGTCTCACGTGGTTTTCTACACGATATTCGTTTATAGAGACTTGAGAATATATAAACGAGAACAATTCTCTCACATATAAAAAAATAACACAACATAGATAAAACATCATACAAAAGTCAAGTTACAAGAAAAAGAATATATATTATAATATTACAAATCTCATCGTAAGTATCCTACTAAATTTTGTATCATCTCCTATCT